TCTGTCAGATAAACCCATCATGAAATGTGAACTCAAAGACTTTCCATCTAAAGATTATACTTGTTTTAATTATAAAAGTGTACTGAGCTGATTGACCAATCTATTTCAAACTATTTGATGTGCCAAAAAATAAGACAATGGTATTTTTCATCCATGACAATCAGGTACTGTTTGTCACATGTTAAAGAACTCAAGTTAACATATGCAAACTTCCAGTACGATTCCTATATTATTCCTACTCTAAAAACTTAATTTACTAGTTAGAACACTTTAACATGTTTATGATAAACAAGCAATATCTAACAGTTTATCATTTAACAAAAGCCTTTATCCATGACTTAAGCCTATGATATAAAGACATGTATGTCCTACCCCAATGACATAAGCATGCACAGTATGCATAACTGTCGTGCATTGAATTTTTTTTTACTGAAAACGTTTTAATAGATAAAAAAAAAGTGATGCAGTGTTAACAGTGTTATTAAAGGCAACTAGATGGTACTAAAAAGATTGATGGTATCAAAGTTAAAGCTGACTGTCACAGATACATTCTGTAGATAACATGCCCATGACCAATGTCTTGACCAATGATGTCCAGTTGTTTTACGTTGGCACACTTTAGCATGCCGAAATCTTGCAACCAGTGGTTTATTGGAAATTGTACTGAGAAAGTCAAACCATCCACTCTGTTGACATGAAAACTGTGCAAAGTAGCCAGGTACTAGACATAAATGTGACCTACAAACTGGTACAAATCCTAATTCCTTCAAAATAATGATTAAAACATAGCTGCTATACAAATTGTTTCAACATAATTTACAATCCTACCCAGTTAGCATTCAGACTTTGGCCCAACATGGCTATGGTTGGCAACATGTTGTCATCAGATTTCTTACATACACCCCAACATTTTTACAATGTTGGTTACATTTCGGAAATCATATTCAAGGGATGCTACTCTTAACGGTCATCAGAGTACTGTTTTCATCGAATACTGCTGTAAGTGTTCGATTAATGTGTTTTTGTAATGTCATACTTTGTTTCCAAACCTTATTTGAGAAAACAACAACCATTGTCCATTCAAAAATTCCAACTTAAGTAATTTTTCCTCGAAAAATGGAAAACACAATATTCACTTACTTCCTGATTGAAGCTGAATAATATATTTTAAGTCATCACACTGATGGCTTGCATAATGTAGCATACATTGTAACAATCAAATCTGATTTTGTTCAGTATAATATAGCTGGTGGTGATTGTAAGGACAAGTTCGTGCAAAGAGATGTGCGCCGAGCAGCTTATCTGATATTACATAAGTTACAGTGTCTATCTAAGTTTTGAAAGTGGGAGGTACATGACAGTAAGCGTGACATGGCATTTCAAAATGTACATTGGTTGTTTATATTCTTGAGCATGTTGAGTATAGTCTGAAAGTGAAAAACAAACTCAATTGAAAAGGTCAACTCATGCTTAAAAGGGGCACTGATCTAACGCAATTCTCCAGACTGGTTGTTGCCTTTGTTATTGTTTTTTTCCCTGTGAGTACTCGGATGATACGCTACGCAGCTGAGCGTGACCAGAGACTGGGCTACCGTCTGCAAGGACAGCTAAATAAACGCATTTTTGAACACTGATTGGTTAACTGTGATCTATAAAGATTTCGACAAAGGGTGCATGTTAATTAATTTTTTCAGCCTAAACAAACAGACAAAAAGAACGGCGGAGCTCATTGGATGTCGTCATTTGGAAATACCCCAGATGGTTGTTGTTTAATAATTAAAAAAAGTATCCATGCAGTGAAAGCATTTTAGGATTTCGGATTGCGTCGATAATACGATTACTACTCCCTTGTTGTCATCCACGTTTTCTGGTATAACCCTACACTTGTGTATTTGTCGTCATTCACTTGATGCTCAGTTAATGAATTTATTACAGGTATAATTAGTGGTAGCACCACTTAGATTACCTTACAAAGGTTCCCATTTGGCATTTATTGTGTCTGGGGTAATTATTCAATCTAAATACAGGTTTGAAGTGAGGTGAAATGTGTGTTATGTAATATGCACGTGGCAGCCCAGCAAGAGATGAATGATCAGTTGATTTACTTTTTTTGTAAATCAACGGATCGTTCCTAGTCATCAAAGGATTAACAGAAAATACGTTTATTGATTAATCACTGTTATCTTGCACAGTGGATATGTCAAAAGTGAGTGTTTACATATCTAGGTTTACTAAAACAAAGGGAATACTCATATCATGGCGTGAAGTGCTGATGTAAAAACAACATACTTTGTTCAAAGGGTTAACTGATAATACGTTGATTGATTGCTCATTGTTATCTATCACTCAATGGATTTTTTAGGAACCGTGGACGTTATGAAAATAGTTGTCACGTGGGCTTTCTCAGCCGACCCTTGAGACTTGACACCTATGTGAAACACCTGAAACAATCTAAGTGATCAGTTGAGAAACGAACACAGGTTATAATATCCCGAAACAATATATATCTTTTAAAATATTTGATTGTTACAGAGACACGTGACATCGAATAAGTTTCTTTGTACAGCTGCAGACGAGTAGGATATTGTTCCTTTGTGTGGATATTCACGGATACATTCCTCGAACAAGGAAGCTGCCTTAAATTTATACACATAAATTTGGTAGGTTGTAATTATGGTATTTGCATTTTGTTTTCCTTCATTTGCTGTAGCATTGAACCGATTCGTTCTTGTTCCTCTAATCTTGTTTGGGAAATTCTTCAATGCGCGATAGACGTTGTTTTCACAAGTCTTTTCCTTTGTAAGCGTGTATATATTACCGTCAATTTGTAAAATGTGATTCTCTCAGGCAATTTATAAAATGTGTAAATATTTCAGGCATTTTGACTAAAAAATCTGTCCAGATTGACTAAAATTGATTAAGACGATCCAACGGGCCTAAAAACATCACAACAGATTATTATGTAGGATGAGAAGCCAAACAACATAGAAATGTACTTTTCAACGTAACATTTGCAGTCTCTTGGTGATGACATTAAACATCAAAATGTTTGGAATTCGTTATCATAATAATACAGATGGAAATGTTTTTCAGTCACTTTGTAAAATAACTGAATATTTAGGCGTTTAATAAATTTGAAAATGTTACACTTTTTGACAGTAAAAAGATATACACACTATAAAAAAAGCAATGCTCAGGTGAAATATTGACTTTGTGTTGCAAGTCAAAATAGTGTAAACGAGAATCGCAAAATTACCAAGCAAGTGACATATCAAAACTTCGTCATCATTACCGATGCTACCCACAAAGATACCTACATTTCCTTATTATCTCGAAAACTGTATTTCATTTTGTTGATCAATGTGACCATACGCCCTTATTACTACCCATGAAAATGACTAATGCGCTTACGAATGGCGCGAACTAGTCTAGATTTCTGCTCTTCATCCGGGTACTCACTGGGAAAAAACAATAACAAAGGCAACAACCAGTCCCGCGGAATTGCTTTAGATCAGTGCCCCTTTAACTGATGTGCCCCGTGAAGATATGGGTTAGAATTGTTCATCAGCGACCCATATGCTTGTCGAAAGAGGTGACTAACAGGATTGGGTGGTCAGGTTCGCTGACTTTGGTTGATGTCAATTGCTGGATTGTTTGGATCAGAACTGATTACTTACTGACTGTCGTCATATAGGTGAAATATGAACAATTCACAAGACTTTTAAAAAAAACCTAAGCATTCCATGTACATGATATAATAACAACATGCAAACTAACAGTGAACGATGTAGGAAGCATCACTGCTGTCAAAACTTTGTGAGTTCAGTTTTCGATCACCACACAGTAGGATCGTTTTTATTGATATTTAAGAGGGACTTGTGACATAGTCGCCTGCAATTATTTGTATATGTTTTGCAATTATTAACTGCAGAAGGGAGTTATTGTTAAAACAAAGTGAATAGGATGAAGTATGGCCATGAAATGTCAGGTTGTCAATTTGCAGATACTTGAGATGGAAAGTTCAAAGTGAACATTCAACTTTCGGCATTTATTGGTTCCTAAGTAAGTAGCATAACTGGCTTAGTTTTGTGCAGACATTTTAGGCTACCTTGGATGCATAAAGTAATAAATCAGACATTAATTAATCAAACGTTTCTTTGTCAATGTTGGGCCAACACTGGCAACAGTTTTTATCCAATGCTGACCCAACTGTCAAAACAACATTAGGTCAATGTTAGCTCAATCGTCTGAATGCTAGCTGCCTATGGTTAATGCTTATTTTTCATATCAGAAACTACTGATATAGGACATTCCTTCAAAAACATGTGTCATCAATTTGTCTGCAATGGGTATTGAAACAATGTTTCAACTTCAATGTTCTTTACAATGTGGCAAATGCAATTAAATAATAACAAGTTGATGATTTCCAACAATTTAAGACTGAACCGAGGGGTTTATCAAATAGTGATTGAAAATTGAAGTAGAACAATAAATACTGACTCATCATCAGATGCCTTGAACATGTTATTTGCAAGGAACCATTATGTACATTCACCAAACTGCATGAATATGGCACTGAATAAATTATAATATTCATTTGCCAGGAAAACTCTGCAAATGACCCAAATACATATATTTTGGCCACAAAAATGAAATTGAAATTGAAGATTACAACAGAAATGTGCATCACTGAAATGACAACACCTTTATGTGAGTGAAATCCTTTGTTAAACAAAGCAATCCTAACTAGGTGCGGCATGCGCAATACATGTAAACACAACAGGGTTGGTTGACGGCGAACTCAAATGAGAAGGGTGGAACGAGTGATTAAAACGCTCGAAAACCAGAACTTCTATTGAATAGCGAACCTGACATACAAAATGCTCATTATTACATTTTCGAAATGAAATGTCACTAGAGGATATATAACGCATGTCACATTTTCAACATTTGCCGGAATGATGTCATCAAATATGGACGACTGTGGCCCAAATACTCACAGGGTAATTTCCGTTGGCGTGGTTTCCGTTACATGTCCGACAAATTGGCGATGAAGCATCTTGAAAAAACATACTAAGAGCCGCCTGTAAGGGAAAACGACACAGAAATGAATAATCTTTCGATTTATCAATGAATTTTCACAAATGATTAAGTACTGATACCAGGAATCGGCACCGAATGTGACCTATTCCAATGATAAACATTCGCCATGTTTACATCCTAACTCGTCAGACTACCTACCTCGAATTGCCATTTCGCTGCTTGCAATAACTGTTTCGCCTGTTCTGCGTGACAACCAGCCGCCATGACAAACTGGTTTATCATAACCTGTTGTTTGAGGTTATCCATGGTTATACCTGTCGTGAAATGGCAAAAATTCCAAATGTCGGATAGCACCAAAAAGTGTAAACACAAGTCGCAGTGCAAGTTGTTGTTGATCGAAGAATGAGAAGAAAATAGCATATGGTGTACGACAAGCAACAACTTGTTTCGGGTCGGCGGTTTTCTGTTGAGTGTTATCAATGAATGTATTCATATGTTGTTTTTTTTATGTTCTTCTTGTAATAATATAAAAAAAGAAACATATGAAAATATACATTTCACTGATCCAGTTTACTACTTGGGCGTGAGAGAACTTCGTGGATCGTGGACCGATTAATCTGTGCAAATGTTTGGGATCGTAAAGTAAGATAACAAGTATATTCCGGCGGGGAACGGGGCGTCATTTGATTCACACTCCCTCCCCACTCCTTTCTCGTAAATCACTAATGGACCCCAATGACATGAACGAAAACAATAAAGCACCTTTGTACAGTTTGTAGCACTGAATTACATAGGAATTCATCGCTAACCTCCGCCATCCTTGTCTGATATGATCCGCTTCTGGCATGGACAATATGTTATATACAACTTCCGAGGCAAGCAAATGTCTTCATCTAAGTCCAGCCACCGATGGCCGAGGATGCTGATGAATTCAATAATACAGATGCTTTTTGTGTGTGTGGCCATCGTGAATTCTTACTATATATTAAAAAGTCTAAATATGTGTAAAGATTTTATTAACAATCAACAACAATAAATAGATCTAGAAATGAACTTTCAGTAGACAGGGTACACACAAACTCGCAAATCAAATTGAAAAAGCGACTATTCTAATCAAATTATATATAAACTTAATATAATATAGCTGAAGAAACATAATAGTGTATCAAGTAATTTTGAAGATCTATTTTGGGATGAAATGAAAATTATGCCCCCATACTATATTTATCTTACTTTAAAGACACTCCAAATATAAATAATACCACTTAGTGATAACATATAAACAAACGAAACAATTAAACGAAATTCTAAACAATGTATCAGTACATGCGTGCAATGAAACTCACTCACAAAAACTAGTTGTATGGTTAACATTGGTGTTAAATTATAGAACGGTCGGTGCCCGTGACGTCATCAGTGGCCATGTTTTGAGACAGGGAAGAAGAAGTTCTCGTGATAATAATGACAGTCTAGATCGGGGCAATGGGAGCCACTTTATCTTCCAGAAGAAACACAGGGGTGGAATCCGTGGACATAGCAGCTAGCAATGCCTACAGATATCCACCTAAAACTGGTAACAGCACGATTTTCCTTTAGATAACATAAAGGCTATTGCGCTTCGCGAGGCCTAATGTTTTGAAAGATTTCCTGTAGGATGACAGACTGCTACAAAGAGAATTAAAATGCGTAGCCATACATTCAGTGTTCTCTGTCGATGACATTCTGAGTAAGCTGACTTGACCTCTAAGGTATTCTTGTCGTCTTCAAAAACAGACAACATTTTAATCCTGCTATGAAAGGTTTACTGGTCACCGACCAGTTATCGACATTTTTTTCATGTTATTTCTAAATTAATCCACATGTTAGCTGTGCCATAACTTTGGTTTGTGTAAAACTATAAGCATATGCGAGTTTTTCTGCCTGTGGAAAACGTTTGAGTAGATTTCTCGGGAGTAGTGCACTTTACCGGGCGCACTTTTTCAGATCCAATTAGCGCTGTGGGTGCCCGAACGCGCATCGCCGGCTCACCGGTTCTGCTAATTAACGGGTTATTTAGCCGACGCTCTACCACTGGACCACAGGCGCTATCACATGTAATCAGTGCTCGTTTAACAGGTCTTAGAATCCCCTTTGACATGCATGCGTAATTCAGTAAACAATGAATTGTGCATGCGTGTGACGTCACTGCCCGCTCTCCCATTCATCTTTTCTTGAAACCACACCCGCAATTGTTTATGTCAACATGACCAACCAATGGGATTAACTGGATTAACGCTTGAAAAGGTAAGAATTTATGGCTAACCCTTGCCCAAAGCCAGCTGACCCTAATGACCGAAAAGGGGTTTTGGATCGTAAAGACGTGTAAGTTTCCCTAAGACCGAAAACGGGTGTTGGATCGTAAAGTTGTGTAAGTTTCCCTAAGACCTAGAACGGGTGTTTGATCGTCAAGATGTGTAAGTTTCCCTAAGACAGAGAACGGGTGTTGGATCGTGAAGCGAGAGTCACCAGAGCGTGAGGCACGGTAACGGTATAACGAGACAGCGGTGGCACTATAGCGCGGTAATTGAGCGGATGGTAGAGCTCGGGCTGTTCCCGGTAAACTGCATTGCGACGACAGGGAATCAAAATAGTGGAAATAGAAATTTCCTTTCAATTAACTGGAACAGTTATCGCCATCGTCTAAAAAAAACGTGCAGTTATGCTTCAGTTATGCAAATAACATTGTATTTTCTCTGTTATCGCACTCAATTTTTATATTCATTACAATTAATACGAAGTGCTTTTATCAATTTGTCCTCTGCAAACTGACGTACACTTTTATCCCCAATTTGGAACTACACATGTTTATATCCTCAACACTATGTAGACTATGAATTTCGTGATAGAGATCTATACAGGGTTATGCACTTTTGAAACCCCCCAGCTCAAATAGGTTTTAGAATTGTATTTTGGGGAAGAAATGACAGACAGATAGTAAGTTATGACAGAACTGAATGTGCATGTTTTTGGATTTTTGTTTATGCGTGAATTAGTCATGTGACACCGCCCGCATGTCTTTTTATTGTATTTGAGCAAGGTGATTAGATGGGTTTTTTCAAATATTCATTCACAAGAGTCCGTTTTGTTCATCAAGTTTTATAAATATTACTCTCTTCTAATGAAATCGAGCAAAAGTAAAACAAGATGTGATCACATGTATATGTGCCATAATCAGCTGATAATGGGGAGTTTGCAATAATTGGTACTCCCTTTTAACTTGGCAATAACTGGTCGTTAGCCAGTAGGAGTTTATTGGCTCTTAAATAGGCTTCCTTGTCTGCTGAAAGTCCATTTGTAGATCTCAATGCTCATCATATGCAAACTTCTGAACTTCTGAATACTGCTGGAATTCACCAACATGAGAGCAAGTATGTTATGAATAAGACTTCAGATAGCCATGACGGATGGCATACGTTTATGGATTTTACAGTACTGAAGACTTAAAAATAATATGGAACTGGAGTCACAATTGGCTTTCCGGCTTTGCATGTTAACGAAAACATGTTTGCTTCCAAGTATATCAAAACAAGTGATTAACTTTGCAAGATACATGATTCTTCAGTGTTAGAATTTGGCACAAGTCCTGTGGTCCTTGCCAAACTGCCCAATAGTAAGGTATCGTAAGGACTAGTAGAAATTTGCCCTTTTAAAGGGTTTTGCTATATGTTATCATTATAAGGACTAGTGGACTAAAACTGTTAGTTTCTACCGCTGCTCTTTTTAATGTTTAAGAAATGCTATTATTTTCCAGTGTTAGTATTTTTTTTAGTTGGAATGTGCTGAAAAGTCCTTTTACTTTATATACATAAACCTTTTTCTCCAAAGTCGTAACCATGTTAATTGGAAAGCTAAAACAAAGTATACAACATGGTTCATCATGTTTGTGATTTTGTTAGCATTGGTAAGAATGAATGATATATCACAAGAAGAATGTAACTAATTATATGACATTTAGGAACACAGTATTGAAACTCCTTGTAAGATATGCAGACATTTCTTTCCTACCTCAGTCAGCCTGTTTATGTTTGAGAGTTAAGTATGATCAACTGACCATCATCAATACTGTGTAGAGTTGGAAGTGCAGGATACTGTGTGTGTTGGTACATGTACATTACCAATTACCATGATTATGCTAATCTATATTTAGCACGGAATACCCCTTGTGTCCATAAGGCCTAGCAGCTACCCGGCATGCTTTGTACCAAGCCGGAACCAGCATGGCATTAAAAGCATGAGTCATTTCAAAAGTTTGTTAGGTATCTTGTCATTGTTATCAGCTGAACTGAATGAATGCTAACGTTAGCACAGCAAACGGTGTGGTTATCTTTGGGGGATTTTCCTAATAGGCATAACCATGATAACTATGAAAACAAAAATAGAAGCTGAATTACATATCCACATGGTTATGACAAACACCTTTGGATATGTTAATTGAATGTCTGCATTACTTCTACATGACCACAGTTCCAGTTAGAATTCATGAACTAGTACTGTACCACTAGCATGACCAATTATCAGTTTTATTCACACATGTTGTCATCATCCAACCTTGTAAGTTGTAATATATATATATATATATGTATCTGACTCATCTAGCCTGGGCAGTCTTTATGCACATGACACTGTTCACTGATATATTGATGATTCTTTTCCTTCTAACAGGTCAGTATTTTGGGACTCACTTCATTATGGGGGGAGAACGGTTTGATTCTCCTCAGCCTGGTGAATACCTCTTCGGGGAAAATGAAGATCTCAACTTCCTTGGCAACAAGCCCGTGCCAGTATGTCCTTAAGTTGCCTTGACATCAGTACTCATAGCTAGTAGTTGCTTTACTCTCAGTTAAGGTTTGATATGGTCATCAGATAATCACTGATATTAACTAGGGCCAATCTGACAAATGACTTGCAAAACTCCAGCTATATAATGGCAAGTCTAGCAGGCAAACAAGGGACTGATATTATAAACAATGTCCCACAAAGTTGGGGAACAGCCAAGTCACGAGGTCTGACCACTTGATCTAATGTAGTTGCCTCCAGCAACAAGCAATAGAGTGCTGTGGACCTATTCTGACCTTGGTCCTCATTTGTTGGTCCAGATCATTTATTTACAGGCCACTGTGACTGTGGCATTGTGTCAAACAAGAAATAAAACAGTAACTAAAACGTCTGTGGAAATTAAGATTGCCTTATGACTAATTTGACATGAAGGGGACAAATTCATTTGTGTTCCATGCGTATATCGTATGATGCTTGCAACAATTTGTCGACCATTTGATTGGGTCATCTTTGCCTTCATTACACTACTCATACTATGACTGTTTCAGTTTCCCTACCCTGTACCCAGTGGAAACGAACCCACTAAAACACTGAAAAGCCTGGTCTACATCCGGAAGGACACCCTTCGACTGATAAGGTTGGTTCTTCTAACTACAGAGAGGTTGAAGAAAGAATGTTGAGGCTAAATGGTGGGCCTTTTAGTCAAGTACAGATGTCAGCACTGAGATATTTTTACACTTTATGCCTGCAACAGCAGTGTTGTTCCTAGCCTCAATCAACAAGGGTCCTCAGGGCCCCTTGGTGTCAATTAAGGGCGCCTTCTAAAATTTTGGAGGCCCACATCCCTAATAAAGCAAAATTGATGATTTGTAAATGCTATGTACTGTCCTTTAATTTTAGGGTCTTAATTAAATAAGATATGGCATAAACTGCAATAAAAACCCTTAATTCAAAAGAAATGTTTTAATGTGTTTTGGATTAATCTGTATGCAGCTTCAAATAACGGATTACACTATGCAACTTGAACAACGCACATTATCATTAATGATTTATGGATCTGTGATTCAATCTCACCCTTTCAGTAAATGTTTAAACATCTTAACTCTGTTACAGTTAGGCGACACTATTTTTATTTCTTGGTTTACGGATTTCAAACTCATTTCAAAAGTGAGGCAGGCCAATTTAAAAAAAAAGAAAAAAAAAGCCTCTCACATTTTTTTTACTTGAATTTTGTCCTAAAAAGTTAGGTAGGTATGAAAAAAAATATCCTGGCGTAACAAAAGTAAAATAACTCAATTTTTCAAGAACATTTTATTATATCCCTGGCACTCAGCTTGTGCACAAATGGCAACATGACAATATTCATGTCATGGATGGAAATGCATGAAAGACGCTGCTATTTTGGCAGCATGGGCAACGTTTAACTCTTTCAACACCAGCCAACCAGAAGATTACTGCTGTGACACCAAGTTCCCAGAGACTCTTGTGTGATAGATGAAACCAACATTTATCAAGGAAATTATCTGCTGAAATTAACATATTTTTTACTTATCCTGCATTACTCCTTAATGCATTCACTGCTTACTTACGACAACTAGAAGGACAGCGCTGCGAAGGTCCTGGGTGAAGAAATAAAGTTGTTGTTCTCAAGTCCCAATCAGTGGCCTTCCGTCGCTGTCCTGTGACCTTGATGACACCTAAGGTCATCTTCACATCACTGCTTGTCGCAGCACAGCTAGGACGTGTCCAAGCGGAGCTCTCCTTTTGGATTAATTTTAGACCTTCAGTTTGTCTACAATCTTAAAAATTGATCTGCGATGGGTGATGTATTCTTTTCATATTACTTTCACCATGTTGTGTAGTTTTATGTGAATTAATTAGGCGTGAAAAGACGCTTGTCTTTTTTCCCGCCAAAATATTGTTGTTCGCCGCCATTTTGAATTGTGTTACAATCGTTTGCCTGCCAAGGTAGTCATATTGTTTACAATTCTCAGCTACGTATGTATAACATATTCTTATGTTCTTAAATATTACTAGCTTTGGCGTAACAGTGAGTTGCGTATACTAAAATTATTGTATACTTTTTCAACTCGTTAAAAATATGGTTGCCGATAGATTAATATCAAATCTACGGCTTTCTTCCAGTCCCGCTTCATCAACAATTCTTTTATTGCGTACCTATGTTTATGCGATTAAATAGTTTTTTGTTGGTATTTTTGGTTTTACATTGAGTTGCGTATATGAACTATTGTATACTCTTGCAACTCGTAGTTTTTGCCGATAGATTATTGTTCAATTCTATGGCATTCTTCCAGTACCGCCTCATCAACAATGGCGTAATTGTGTTTGTTTTAAACATAATTTATTGACATATATGGTCAACGGGATTGGTCAAAAGTTATCCAACTTAGGTGGCCCTTTCCCTACTCTATATGTACAGACATTGAATATACATATATATATGTAATTGTGTAACTTATGATTGAGCGTGGTATTAATTGTCGTGGGAAAAATCTTACAAAGATTATCATCCACGTTGTTTGGTTTGCGCGCAGATGTGCTCTCCAAACCCTAAATGAAAATATAAATACCCTTGGTTTACATTGGGTTGCGCATACAAAAATATTGTATATCCTTGCAACTCATAAATTTGCCGATAGATTAGTGTTCAAATTCTTCTGCACTCTTCCAGTATTATCTCATCAACAAGGGTTTCATTGCGTAACATACCTTTGAGCATTTTACTAATTGTCGTGGAAAAAACCTTACAAGATTATCATCCACGATTGGTTGGTTTGCGCGCGGATGTGCTCTCCAATCTCTAAATGTAAATAGCCTTGGTTTACATTGAATTGCGTATATAAAAATATTGTATACCCTTGCAATTCGTATTTTTGCCGATAGATTACTGTTCAATTCTACGGCATTCTTCCAGTACCATTTCTTCAATGGTTTAATTGCGTAACATAATTATGTTTGCTCGGTGTACATATTGTCGTGGAATAATCGCCCAAAGCTCTTTATCCACGGTCATAGGCATGCACGTAGATGTGCTCGCCAAAATTCAAAATGTAATTTTTATGTAAATCTCTAATCCAACGAGTTTACTATATAAAAGCAGATTACTCACAATCATATTTTGCAGTTATTCCGTCGTGAGACGAGAGGAATGTCACTATCGCAGAATAGCGAATGACATATGGTTCTGTCATTACCACCCAACCGTTATTATCGGCAGGTATTATGACGACTGTGATTGCAGAAGTACACCATCCACCGAAATCAACAATACCGGAGGATTTTGTGAGTATCGTAACTGCTCCTATTTTCAGCCGCCGGACACTTCCAGATACATGTATGATAATCTGTGACGTCGGCGACAGCACCAGCACCAGCGTATCGAGATGCTATGATGGGGGTAGATTAGACGCAAGCCTTGATCCAGTCAATACTTTTGAGCTTTGTGTCTGATTTATCTGCGCCGAGCGCAGCACTTGACTACAACCCAAGCACTTCTATTACGCAAGCGGCGCACGATCAGCTTAGCGCTGTTCCAACATATCCAGCATAGACCTGCGCCGAGCGCAGCGTCTGACTGATACCCAAGCGCTCCTATCACGCCAGTGACGCACGATCAGCTTAGCGCTGTTCCAACATATCCAGCATAGACCTGCGCCGAGCGCAGCGTCTGACTGCTACCCAAAGCGCTCCTATTACGCAAACGTTGCACGATCAGCTTAGCGCTGTTCCAACATTCCAGACCTGCGCTGAGCGCAGCGTCTGCGTATCAATCAAGGTCTCTACAATGACGTAACCCAAGGCTTACAGTGTACTCGTGTATGTAACCGGCACATGATCACCTTAGCACATGTACCCGATTGGGAAGCAGACCATCTCGTGTCAGTAACGCCCTCCCCTGATAACAGGGTAAATAAGAGGGACACCACGAGGTCATTGGAGGAAGCCTTCTCCAAAACTCACATTTGCTCCGTGATTTAAGCGACCAATATCGTCAATGTTTGCAGTGGATCAGAATCTATTAGAGGATAACCCTATCTGATTAGATCACTTCCAAACTATGGTGTTTTTCCTACAGCGTCAGTTTGACCACAGGAAAATTCATCTTGAGACCGTTCTGACGGTGATTACCGTTACACCCAAGACTTTATAGCGTTTCCAACTGAGATGCTGGTTTCAAGGGCAGTCTATTACGTCAACCTTGATCATCTACTCCCCTGTTCAACGAACAGATCGCAGACACGCACGTCAAGTTCCCAAAAAGCTTGGAAAGTCCAAGTCAGGGAATTATAAGCCTAGACGCGCGTTTCTCAGGGAAGACCAGCATTCCCTTACTGAGAAAGGGAGTGGCAGAGACAAGTCTCAAGGACGATTTCGTACTTATCGCACTATATCATGGTGTCCGTATAAGGGTAGAGTTAACCCCACCGTTGACCACAGTTTGATTGGGAAAATCCAACATTGACATACTGTTGGTAAGAAGAGCTGTAGAGTGGGTTCACAACCCAGTCTTTACTCCGGGGTTTTATCCTCACACCTACCTGGTACTCATGAAGGACCCGGACAAGATGAGAATGATCCACAATCTCTGTGTTCAACGAACGTTTGATTCTTGATCAGTCTCGACTATCCATCCCAACCGTAGACTTTTCAGGTCCAGTTCATTGGGGTTCACTACCAATGGTAGTATTTCCCATTTGACATGTCAGTGACACTTATGGCTATTTACAGGAGTAATGAAGACAATAACTATCTACACGTGACGAACACTTGGTTCGAGTCGTAGATGGAGGGCGATCTACTGTATCATCAACACATGTCAATAACTGGGATAGACAATCAACGAGGCGAAGTCGGGAGTATTCTCCTTCCTATTGACTTCAGTTCATAGGAGACCTGTTTAAGACAGACCAGGATATCCTATCTGTACCGAGGGACAGATGGCACAAGTTTCTACTTCTTTTGTCATCTACTCTACACCAACCACACACACTTCGCCAGTGGCAAGTGTTGCTAGGGTTAATCACCTCGGCACAGGAGTTAACTAGCATGGGCTGCTTACAACAGCGACCAATTCAATTTTTTCCTGAACCCTTACATCAGGAGTCAGGATCCACTCAAGGCCATCACTCTACCAACTAAGCTAGAGCCTTGCCTCAATTTGTGGCGCTGAATGTCTGCGGAGTCTGTTTATTCGGGTTTTCCCCGAATACACACCTGTTTGTGGACGTCCCCTTTCAGGGGTGGAGTCTTCACTTACAAGACCAGATAAGCTCAGGGCTATGGCCCGGCGCACAATGGAAGTGGCACATAAACAACTTGGAGTTGGAAGCTCTAATTCTGGCTATATCACATTGGCAGAATCAACTACAGTTAGCCCGACTCGCTATATCCACAGACAACAGCACTGCCGTGTGGTGCCTGTGCAATCGGGGAACAACACACTCCCATTCTCCACTTCTAAGGACATTCAGATTTCTTCCATCTAGTGGATCGGCTGTGACTAAGGTTCATAGTTCAGCACATCCCCGGATGTAGAAACATACTGGCCGATACCTTATCACGTCCAGACAGGGTGGCTCCCACTGAGTGGAAATTTCTCACAGAAGCATTCCAGTT